TGTGGCAAGGCCAAGGCACAAAGTAAGTGATCTGCTATGGGTTTTGGGGTTTTATTTAGACAGATTTTGAACTCAATAATGAATTGTCCCCATTGAGTAGGCACCCAGGGAAATGGAAGCCCCTTACCTTGGAGACTACATAGTGGCTAGCTTGATGACAGCATTGCAGGGCAAGATATCATATAAAAATCAGGAAGAAAATGTTTGTGGGGCAGCCACTCAATGGCTGCAGATAAATGAGGCAGAGTGAGGAAAGTGGAGGTTGAGAGAGCAGGAAAGAATAATAAGTGAAGAGGGGAGAAATGACCTATTGAGTTGTAAGGAATGGTAATGCCACCATCATACTTAGTCAAGACATCTCCCTCTTTCCCTCCTGACACACACAATCTGACTCAGGCTCCACATGCTTACAACTGATGAGGGTGCTGTGGAGCACATTGGTGCTATCCTGTCAAAACTATGTGGGTGCCCTGTCTTTGAACAGAAAGATGTCTGCAGGATATTTGCAGTCTCATTTTGGGTAAGTGATATTGGTGCCCTTCCTCCAGGAGTTCTTTATGAAAATACACAATGTAAGAATACAGTATGAATGTTTGGCCCTAAAGGAGTTGAAAGACTTCTATGAACTTCATGTTCTTAGTAGAGATGTACAAAATCTCCTTTGGACACACCCAGCACTCATGCACTTCAGGTAGGTCTTGCAATTTCTGGTTAAGATGAAATGTTTCTAGGGCTCACCTTAGACCCCTACTCAAACCATGAAAGTCAATGTGAACAAAGTTACCATGTAAGTTCACATCCATATCATTTGGGCCAATGCTATTGAAATGCTGAATGAAGCAGCTCTTGGGGAAAAAAAGCCTCAGGTAAGTCATTAGAGTATTGCAAATTAAAGCAACAAATACATCATTATACATATATAAGAATAGCTGAAATTAAAAAAAAAACTGACAACACTAATTATTATCAGTTGCAGAGCAACAAGAACACACATTCATTACAGGTTAACACATAAGATGTCCAGTCACATTGGAAGACCTCCTGGCAGTTTCTTGCAAAATTAAATGTAGTCTTACCATAGGAACCAACAATTGGGCTCCTAAGTATTTACCCAACTGCTTTGAAAACATGTCAAAAAAAATTTGCTCATGAATGCTTACATTATCTTTATTAATAATTGCCCAAGCTTGAAAGCAACCAAGATGCCCTTCAATAGGTCATTTAATAAAAACCGTGCTATACTCATGCAATATAGTATCATTAAATTATAAAAAGAAATAAGCCATCAAGCCATAAATACACTTTAAATGCATACTAGTTGGCCTACATGATTCCAAGTGTATGACATTCTGGAAAAGGCAAAAAAATCATGATAGTAAAATGCTCAGTGTTGCCAAGAGTTTGAAGAAAGCATGTATGGGGTGAATGGGTGAAAGCACATTTTTTAAGGCAGTGAAACTATTCTGTGTGATACTATAGTGGTAGATATATGCCACCATGTCTTTGTAAAAGCCTATAAAGCTTTATAGCATGCGGAGTGGACCTTACTATATTCAAATTTTAAAAATCAGGAGGTTGGGAGAGTCTAAGATGAATGCAGAATCCTACAAAACAATCTAAACTGAATTACAAATGCAGGAAACAATCCCACTGAAGGGGGATAAGGTACGAATTGCTGACCTAAGTAATTTTGAAAATAAGCAGCATCTGTAAGTTTAAAAGCAAAAGAATCTGTTCATAAATACTGTACTCTAGTTAATAAAGTTGTTTCCTGCAAGGAGGTGGATTAAAATTTTTGATAATGCTATATATGTTGAAATAGTAAGTAAATGGAAATTTTTAAGTAAATTGAAATATTGAGTAAATTGATGTCAAGTGGTGGGAGTAGGTTTCTAGCCTCAGCTTGCTTAACTAGAAAAATTAAATAAAGTGTCAGTAACAAACAAAGCAATGAGTAAAGTGTACTAATTATAGTAATAAAGCAAATAATCTCAAAAACATGGTATTATCAGCAGTAGTTATACTTATGATAAAGCTGTGTTGTTACCAAACCCAGATCCAGCTGTTTGCTATTCAAAGAGGCCAAGGTGAGCAGATAAAGACCGCAGGAGATCGAGACCATCCTGGCCAACATGATGAAACCCTGTCTCTACTGAAAAAAAAGTACAAAAATTAGCTGGGCATGGTGGTTCACCCCTGTTATCCCAGCTACTTGGGAGGCTGAGGCAAGAGAATCGCTTGAACCAGGGAGTAGAAGGTTGCAGTGAGCTGAGATTGTGCCACTGCACTCCAGCCTGACAATAGAGCGAGGTATCGTCTCACCCAAAAAAAAAAAAAAAAAAAATCCAAACATGAGAGATGAGAATTGGTGGGAGAAAACGCAGGCAAAACTAGCATTTTAAAATACCATCTTAAATTGTTCAGTCTGGATGGAGGGAAATATAGGGAAGAACAGGGCATTGGTATCAAGAGGTGACAGAGGACTGCTTACAAGCAGGTGCCAGCAATGGTCCTGAAAATTTGGGGACATCTTTGTCTTTGGTCAAGTCACAATGCTCCTATGTATCTTTAACAAAACATAGTTGTTTACATACTTCCCCTTTAATCTCAGAGTTAGTTTCAAAAACTACATGATTGCTGTTTTCGCACATTATCTCAGTGCTCTAAAATTATCCTAGCCTATGTGCAGGAATGGGTAAAGTCCTCTTAAATAAAAATGAAGTTAGTTATGCTATAGTTCTTCTGCTGTTTTACTGTTATGGTGTCAGTTGTTAATAAAAAATGAAATAAAATTTTAATAAAAGATTCTAGAAATATTACCTGACACTAACAAAAAGCAACTTATATTACTATTTGTATCACATATTTGAAAAATTCTGATGGACTATACATTAGTAGGATGAATAGAGTTAACTATAATATATATTTCAAAATAACTGGAAGACTTTTGTTTTGTTTTGAAGACACTCTGTCTTGCTCCATTGCCCAGACTGGAGAGCAGTGATGCAATCTCTGCTCACTGCAACCTCCACTTCACAGGCTCAAGCAATCCTCCTGCCTCAGCCTTCTGAGTAGCTGGGACTACAGGTGCACACCACTGTGCCCAGCTAATTTCTGTATTTTTTTGTACAAAATACAAAAATTAGCTGGGTGGGGTTTTGCTATGTTGCCCAGACTGGTCTTGAACTCCTGAGCTCAAGCAATCTGCCCGCCTTGACCTCTGAAAATGCTAGGATTGCAGGGATGAACCACTGCACCTGGCCGGGTTTTTTAGTGTCCTCATCACAAAGAAATGATAAATGTTTAAGGTGAAGGTTGTACTAGTTGCCCTGATTTGATCATTACAATGCATACATATATAGAAACATAACTGTGTACTCCATCAACATTATTATTATGCGTTAATTGTAAATTTTGAAAAAGAAAAAAGAATTGAATGTAAAAACAAATTTACATGAGAGGGAACTGAATATATGTCAAGCCAAAAGTAGAATACAATTAGAGAGAAGCTTAATATTCCATGCCCGTCATTCCATAATTTAAATAAAAAAGGAATTGTCCAGCTCTTTGAACACAAGTGAAGTTAATAACAAGTATGCATCACAAGAACATGGCTACAATTTTTAGAAAATGTGCATCTCAGTGATTAGAAATCATAAGATCATAAACAAATAATATACATGACCAACATAAAATATAGAGTAAATTAAATAACAGAATAAAATAAAATCTGATTGTAAAATTTGATAAAAAAAAAGAATATTAACAAGCAAATAGGTAACCATTTAAGCTTATTACAAAGTAATATTAATTAGAACTCTGATAGATAAATTACTATTTCATTCAAATAAATAAGCAATTAATTAAATTAAATATTTAAATGTTCATGTTTTGTCCCAGTACATTCCTTCTCTGAAAATAATTCTTTAAAAACATATTGCAAAAAACATGAAAAAATACAAGAAACATGAATCCACATTCTTCTCTAGATGTCACCTTATTTTCTTTTTCCATTTGGCAAACTTCCCCAAATAATTTTCTATACGCAGTGTTCTTAATTTCTCTTTCTGTATTTCCTCTTCAACTTACTCCAGTCATGTTTCTATCCCATTCATTCTGCTAAACCAGATCCTCCTAAGGTCATCAATGGAGTCTGTTTCTGGGTTCACTAGGACAGTTCAGCCTCATCTTTTCTGAAAGCACCACTGTCTTCCCTTCGTTAGATTCTGCCTCATTCTTTCCTATTTTTCTTTATAACTGCACTGGCTATTTTACCTCAGGCTCCTTTACAGATTCTCCTTTTCTGTTCTACCTTTGAATGTTGAGGGTCTGTAGGACAAGATTATGTACTCATCTCATTGTCCCCTCTGTTTATAAGTGACTGCATTCATTCCCATGTCCTTTTTACCAGACATGCAATAAAGAATCTTAAATTAATACCTTTGCCCATGGCATTTGTTGTTTGTTCCAGACCCGTATTCCCAATTGCCAATAAAATTTCTGCAATTTCATGTCTCCCAGTCACCTTAGAAAGGACATCTAATATTTTTCTTTCTCAACATTATTTGCACCTAAAGCTTCTAGTAAGATAACTTCATTTTCTTTTACTTATTTTTGTAGTGTTTCATGTAAGTGAAATTGGTACAGTTTTAATGTTTTTTTTTTTTCCTGTAAGAATGAAAGCTCTTCAACACAGAAAGGAACTGTATTTATTCACCTGTATTTCTTAAATAATTTATTTCTAATTTTTTGTGTACATAGTAAGTGTATATATTTGTTGGTTACATGAGATATTTTGATACAGTCATGCAATGAGTATACCTGCATTGCTTGATATCAATTCCAAAATATGCCACATTGATACTCACTTTATATATATTATGTAAATGGAATGAATGAATAGGTAAGTAAATAGTACCATCCATTCTTTGATTTGGTTCAGAAAACTAGTGTTTGAATTTTGGCTTTAGAATAAACAACTGCCAAGAAGTTTTGTTTGAAAAAATTTTAATAAACAATAAAATGTAATATTTAACAGGATAGAAAGCTAAACATGTTTTCTAATCTTAAGACAATGTAAAGACAAACATTTGTTATATAAGAATGTAAATATCATAAATATGATAAAATATAAGAATAAATAAATGAATAAAAATAAATAACATCTTAAAGACTAATGCCCCTGGACCTAAGTCTTTTTAACATATACTTGCTTAATATACTGACAAAGTACTTGCAGAATTAATTCAACCAATTCTCTGATTAAAGCAGAAATAAAAGTCTTTTGAAACAACCAGAGTCACATGTGCAAGTGCTATATGGCAAATTAGTCAATGAGAATCATTTCAAGATGAGCCGAGGTCTCCATCTTTACTTCTCAATCTTTCTTGCAAGTTTGTTGTTAAGAACAAGGATCTCAAGATTTCCACTCTGACAATTTCCCAGGCACAGTCACTGTATTTCTTCTCTTTCAGGTAGACCTGGATTCTCTGGAAGTACCTCCTCAAGGTCAGTGCAGGACTCCTAATCGCCCCAGCAGATTCTCCTTCTCCCATTACCTGCACCAAGCAGGTCTCCAGGTGTGCCAGTTGCTGATGAAGTCTAGCGTGGAGTTGGTCTAAAAAGGTCGTGTTCCAGGCAGCAGAGGAGTGCTCTGTGTGGAAGAGGTTGAAGATCTGCTGCAGCATCTCATGGAGAACAGACATGGCTTGGGCCTTCTGCACCTGGCTCCCTTCCACCATCTCCTGGGGGAACCTGAAGTCTCTTCTGTCCTTGAGACACAAGAAAGGGGAGATTTTCCGCATTTGGTGTAGAAGCACCAAGATGTTCCTGTTAAGTTGGCCATGGTTCCGAGCCAGATCACAGGCCAGAGATCCAACAGGGCTACAGCTGGTCACCACTAGAGCCACCAGTAGAGGGAACAGGTGAGCCATTGGGAAATGTGAGTGCTGCAGGTTTTACTGAGCTGGAATTAGGGCTTAATCTTGGACCCTAGGTTTTCTGAAGGCATTCCTTGTATGCATGGCTTTTAATAGGAAAGAAATGGTTTTCATTTTCTGAACATTTCTCTGTACTTTCACTTTCTTTTTTTGTTTTCATTTGTGTGTTCTCCCTATGACCTTAGAAGGATGACAATAATCTATTAATTTTGGATTAGAAGTTTATTTTTCCCAGTAAACTTCAGCTGTGTCAATACAAATGGATAATTAATCAAATGAAAAACATTTTGGTACTAAAGTCATAAGTGTATAGACTATAAGTATGTAAATAATCTGACACACTCACACTATACTAACTTTATATATTATACATATTTATATATACACATTGTATACAGTGAATATATGTATATGTAATATGTACAGTGTATATATATATATATTCATATGTATATATGAAAAATTCCTTTTCTCTGTTCTAGAAACAAAATTTTAACCCTTATCCATTTTTACCCTCCTAATTTTACATAGAAAGTCAGGTCCTATGGGTTTCCATATTTGCTTGGGGATTTACCAAATCATCTGCAGCAAATAAGCTCTTTAGAACCAATAACGGGATTTTGCTGTTGTTTGTTTTTTAGAGAAGAGGTCTTACTCTGTCGCCCAGGTTGGAGTGTGGTGGCATAATCAGAGGTCACTGCAGCCTTAACTCCTGAGCTCAAGCAATCCACATGCCTCAACCTCCTGAGTAGCTGGGACTACAGGCATGCACCATCATGCCTGGCTAATTTGTTGTTGTTGTTGTTAGAGATAAGGTCCCACTATGTTGTTCAGGCTGGTCTCAAACCCCTGGTCTGAAGCTGAGGACTCCTGTCTCAGCCTCCCAGGTAGCTGGAATTACAGATGTGAGCCAAAAACGAGGTTTTGTTTACTGTTTTATTCACAACAGAGGATGATGATGAGTGAATGAGCTTCTCTGATGTTTTTCTTCCTTCTAGAAAACATTCATGCAGATCTGTGTGGTTACGCTTCACTGGGACCGCAAGGTAAGGATTAATATAAACACTTTTTCTTTCCATCATTTACTTACTGAGGTCAATAGTACTCCCCTGGGTGTGTCACTATCCCAGGTGGAATCCTGATACTTTACAGGTGCAAATGGATGTGGAGATTCTAATTTGCAGATACTTTACTTTCCCAGCATCTCCTCACTCACAAGGTAGTTATCACATCTAGTAACACCTTTTTCTCTAACAAGTACTCTCAACCCAAACCCTCCAGACTCACCCTCAGGAGTCTCACAACATCCTGATGACTTCAGAACTCTTTTGGTGAGAGGAGATTGGTTCCTTTGTGAGCAAAACTATTAACCCTCCAAGACCCTTGCCCCTAGAGTGTTTGTCTGAGGGACCCTACCTCTTAATGACAACCTTCGTCTCTCCTGACCCGTGTGTCCAGGTATCAAAAGTTTCAACAGCCCTCAGATGCTGATAGCAAAGGTTTCTTTTGTCTAAAGAAGGTGGAAGAATTACCCAATTACAATCATTTTACCTTCATTAGTCAAATAATTTCCCACCATTTGCTTACTGAGGTCAATAGTGCTCCTTTAGCTGTGTCAATTTCCCAGCTTGGAATCTTAGTTTATTTTTCATTAAAAAAATTTTTGGGGGGTATGGAGTCTTGCTTTGTTGCCCAGGCTGGGATGCAGTGTCATGATCTCGGCTCACTGCAATCTCTTCTGCCCGGGTTCACGCAATTCTCCTGTCTCAGCCTCCCGAGTAGCTGGGACTACAGGTGCATGCCACCTGTAGTCATTTTTGTGTTTTTAGTAGAGATGGAATTTCATCATATTGATCATGCTGGTCTTGATCTCCTGACCTCAGGTGATTCACCTCCCTCGGCCTCCCAAAGTACTGAATTACAGGCGTGAGCCACTGCACTGGGCCCTGATATGGTTTTTATTGTTCAATTCTTTTATGTAAGCTATTGAACATTTGTTATCCTCAGTGTTTCTCAGGTGGGCACAGGGGATCAGTGATGGTGTTATCTTTCATTAGAAGCTTATATTACAGAAACTAGTGATCTTCAGTTGCTCATTCAGTGACTGCAATTCTCTCTAAGGGTTCTTGCCCCCGCTATCTCTTAGTCACTCTGACAATGCGTGGAGGTTAGACACGGGCTTTTCTGTCAGGGAGAAAGAGCTTTCCTTTATGATTTTTTCATTCTAAAATTTTGTACCTTATTTTTACATAGTGGTTTACTGGGCCAGGTTTGTCTTGCTGCATCTGCATTACTTTCTAGTTCATGACAAAATAACACAACTTAAAGGACGTAAAAGAAAGGCAAAGGAGCCACACTATTTTTATCTATAATTCACATGACTTCAGATTTTTTTCTTTCTCCTTTCAGCTTTCTTAGAAAGCAAAACTTGACGGTTGTTTTGGGGCAAGAAAGAAAACAAACCTGAGTCTGAATGTCATGAAAGTGAGAGAAAGGAAGTGGCTTTCTGCTGATAAATTAGCGAAGTATAAGTTAGCAAAATTAAATGCAGCAAAATTGGTGACCTGGGGTTCTGGCAGAGGGGAAGAATGGGGCCAATGTTAAAGTACACAGCTAGTTAATAAATCCACCTAGGCAATGAAAAGAGGGCTTTGAGAAACCCAGGGTAAAAAATAAAGGGAATTGGACAATCCCAAAGATTCTGCTCTATATCTGGATAATAATAATAATGATGACGGTACTAAAAATGATAACATTGAAATTTGTTACATGCTAAGACCAGCCTCTATTCTTTGAAGCCTCTAATCTTTGAAAATATTAACTCGATCTTCTCGATAACCATATTTAGATTCCACTCATTTATACAATTTTCAGAGAGAAATATAAATCTGAATAGATGAGCTATTCCAAACACACCAATGATTTGAAGTCAAACGTTTAGTGGGAGTCAATATAGTGGCTTATCTGGAGGACCCAATCAACGGAAGTGGAGGATGGATATGAACAGAGAATGTATAAACCAAGGAGAGGCCAGGGCATGAAGTCAGGTGAGCAGGAAAGATGAGATGATAAGGGATTCTGAGTTCCACTTCATATGTCAATGTGTTGCCATCTATTACTTTGTAGACAGAGCAACAGGGGATGTGTTGTGAGTAAATTGAACTAATTTTAAGTCCTAAGTAAAAGTGGACAATGTAACTTTTAAATAGATAAAACTGAGTAGATTTTCTGCCAATCCTAAAAAAGATCTAAGATTTAATGAGTAATTTCTTCAATTAAATACAGTAAAACCTTTATTGACTCATCAACTGCAGACATTTAGAAGCCTTTTTATATTTGACTCTTGTTTTTTTTGTCATATTAAGAATAAACAAAAAGCACCTAACAATTTCTAATCTAAAAATAGCCCAGCAATATGGGCTCTGACTTTCTGAGGATGTCATTGATTACCCAGGACACCTTCATCAGATTAGCTTGCTGTTTTTATTCCTAAAAGAGACAACTCACCTCCAGGCCAGACTTTGTTTTGGCTACTGATAGAGTCCAATAAGGAATTTATTCTCCTCCTAATCTTACCAGACAATGGTTGAGTGTCCAGTGTCAAAAAGACCTATTGTATGAGCAAGAGGGAAGACTCTATGTACTTTCTATATAGAAGCAGTGAAGAAATACTTACCAAGGATAATCTGGTTTTAACCCCAAACTCCACCACAGTACTTACTATAGTTGTCTTTATTTTTCTAAGCTCGTCATAAATAAATTAAAAAAAAAAACCCTAAAATGCATTGACAGGGTTGAATGAAACTTGCCATCAAAATCACCATTGACTGGGCATGATGGCTCTTCCCTATAATCTCAGTGCTTTGGGAGGCCAAGGCAGGAGTTCAAGACCAGCCTGAGCAACACAGCAAGACACTATCTACAAAATAATTAGCTGGGCATTGTGGTATGTACCTGCAGTCCCAGCTACTCAGGAGGCTGAACCAGAAGGATCGCTTGAGCCCAGCAGCTGGAAATTACAGTGAGCCATGATCCCACTGCTGCAGTGACAGAGTGAGACTTTATCTGTAAAATAAAATATAATAATCACCATTCATGGATAAAATAATCAAGGCATTTTTGGGAATAGTTTCAATAGGATTAGTATCAGTTCTTTTTTTGTCTATAGTAGAATTTGGCTGTGAATCCATCTGATCCAGGGTTTTTTATTGTTGGTATGTTTTTTTTTTTTTTTTTTTTTTTTTTTTTTACTATTGATTCAATTTCAGAACTCATTATTGGTATGTTCGGTTATTTCATTTCTTCCTGATTCAATCTTTGGAGGTCGCATGTTTCCTGGAATGTATCCATTTATTCTAGGTTTTTTAGTTTGTCTATATAGAAGGGTTAAAAACAGTATCTAAAGTTTTTTTTTTTGGTAATTCTGTGAGGCTGGTGTAACATCACTTTTGTCATATCTGTGTTTATTTGGATCTTCTTTTTCTTATTATTAGTTTAGCTAGCAGTCTATCAATCTTATTTGTTCTTTCAAAAAACAATCCTTAGTTTTTGTTTATTTTTTGTATGGATTTTCACATCTCAATTTCTTTCAGTTGAGCTCTGATTTTGGTTATTTCTTTTCTTCTGCAAGCTTTGGAGTTGTTTTACTCGTTTTCCAAGTTCTTCTTGGTATGATATTAGCTTGCTAATTTGGGATCTTTCTGACTTTTTGATGTAGGCATTTAATGCTATTAATTTTCCTCTTAATAGTGATTTAGCTGTGCCCCAGAGATTCTGGAAGGTTGTATCTTTGTTTTCATTAGTTTCCAAGAATTTCTTGACTTTTGCCTTAATTTCTTTGTTTACCTGAAAATCATTCAGGAACAGGCTGTCTCATTTCCATGTAGTTATATGGTTTTGAGAGAACTTCTTGGTATTAATTTCAATTATTTTTGCACCATAGTCCAGGAGTGTGGAGGGTATGATTGTGGTTTTTTCAATTTGTTGAGAATTGCTTTATGGACGAGCATGTGGTCAATCTTAGAGTATGCGCCATGTGCAAACAAGAATGTATATTCTGCTGTTGTTGGGTGGAGTGTTCCATAGATATCAGTTAGGTACATTTGATCAAGTGTTGCAATTAGGTCTCAAATATCTTTGTTAGTTTTCTGCCTTGTTGATCTGCCTAATACTCTGAGTGGTTTTGGAAGTCTTTTTCTATTATTGTGTGGTTATCTAAGTCTCTTTGTAGGTCTCTAAAAACTTATGATTCTAGGCACCCCAGTTTTGGTTGCATATATATTTAGGGTAGGTAAGTCATCTTGTTGCATTGATACTTTTATCTTTATGTAATGCCATTTTTTGTTCTTGTTGATTATACTGGTTTAATGTCTGTTTTATC